CCCTGTCTAGCCTGGTTCCACGGTGCTGTCTTGTGTGGTTGGTCCTTTTTTGTCGCACCATGGCGTCGCTAGCAAGTATTACTACCGTGAACGTGTCCTCGGGCGGCCCGCTCGTCGACTTCCTGCCCACGTGCTCAAGTTTGTGCATCGCTGTGCAGGAACATCATGCAAAGGCTGAGGGCGAGGCCTTGGCGAGGTTACAGAATAAGGTAAGAGCTGCTGGGTACCATGGAATATGGGAGCCTGCCTTACCTGGGCAGGGAGCTGGCAGCAGAGGCGGGGTCGCGGTGTTGGCCCCGTTGCGGGTGGTCATCACCAAACCCCCAGGCCTGGACAGTCACGTGCTTCATGAGGGCAGGATGATGGCGGCCCACGTTCACGCTGGGGTGAAGGGCGGCTTCGTCATGTTGTCGTGCTACTTCATCGTCGACGTGAAGCTGTCGCCTGAGAATCTGGCCATGTTGTACAAGCTGTACCAGTACGTCAGGTCGCTGGAGGCTATGGGCGTCCCGTGGATTGTCGGAGGTGATTTCAACATGGAGGTAGGCGAGCTAGGCCCTTTGTCCTGGCTCCAGTCGGCCAATGGTGTGGTGATGGCGCCGAGGGAGCCAACGTGTCTTCAGAGCCTTCCTGGCCGCACCATTGACATGTTCATGGTCTCCTGCCGTTTGCTACCTCGCGTTCTGCAACCGGTGGTGGTCGACGCGGAGACGTGGCCGCATCTGCCCGTGACCATGGAGCTCTCCGCCACGGCCTTCGACGCGAAGGTCAGGAGGCTAGTCGAGCCTCGCGGCATTCGTAGACCGCCTGCGTCGGGGTGCGCGAGGTTTCCCCCCGACTGGGACCCGATCATGGTGGTCATCCAGAGCGCGACTGACAGCGAGGGCATCACCAGGGCCTGGGACGTCGTGCTCAGCGGCATCGAGTTTGAGCTGCAGGGCCGCTACGACCTTGTGAATGAGGCGGCGGAGTACTCCACGGTGCCAGGTCCCCCGACCTTCGAGCTGGTGAGCTTTCACCCTGTGGTGAAAGGAGCCTGGAGCAGGAGGTCGGCTGCCACCCAGGCCTGGGCGCAGGCTGCGCGCTGGGTTCGTCACCTCAGGCGAGTCCGAGTGGCATTGCAGAGTTTCGTGCTCCAGCTTGGCCCGCAGCATGACTTCGAGCTCGGCAGCATCGGCGTGGTGCATGACGATGGAGTGCCTGGCCTGGGCGATGGTGCACCCCCTGCCGCGGAGGTCGTCGGAGTGGCTGGTCTCTCCTCCGATGGTGGTTGGCCTCGGTCGAGAGCGCAGCGACACCAGCCCCTGCGTTGTGCAGGCGAGGACCCATCGTGGGACGCCGTACACTCCAAGGCGGCGCGCCACCTGCTGGAGTGCGAGAATTTCTTCCAGAGAATTTGGCGGAGGAAGGGAGTCTGGCCGCACCTGGACGCCGAGGCCGTCGGTTTCTTCTCGCGTGGCATGCTGGTCTTAGCGCAGGCAGACTTCGAGCAGCAGGTCGACCGCATCTTGAGTATCTCCTCCGATGCAGAGGCCAAGCATGAGAAGGCCGCGTCGCTGAGCTGGAGACAGTGGGCGCAGGCGGCTTTTGTGGCTGGCGCTAAGGGAGCTCACCGCTTCCTGAAGCCCAAGGCCCTCCAGGAGATCGTGGACGGAGGCAATGGGCTGCAACATGGGTACGCGCTGGCCGACCGTAAGCTGGAATATTGGGAAAGCTTCTGGGTGCGGCATGGTGGTGAGGCGGTTCGCCGACCTGCTGATGCTGACGCTTGGGAGCAGCTACCAAGGCTTGAGGCGGCTGACGTGCTCAAGGCCATTCGTTGTTTTTCTTGGCAGACAGGCGTCGGGCAGGTCAACATCGCGCCCAGGGCCATGGAGCACCTCTCTCACGGGGCGCTGACGGCCATGGCGCGCCTCTTCGAGCAGTGTGAGCACCTGCTATTGTGGCCAGACGGCAGATTCATTTCGAAACTTGTGCGGCTCCCCAAGCCAGGGGGTGGGGAGCGTCTGATCGTGCTGATGAACACGCTGGTCAGGATCTGGGGACGGGCGAGGCGGCCTGTCTCGGCAGCGTGGGAGAAGGCCCATGCGCTCCCAGAGGTTTGGGGCCACACTGGAGGCAAGTCGTCGAGTGATGCCGCCTTTGATTTGGCTCTCACCAAGGAGATGGCGACCCTGTGCGATGACGACGCCATCATTGTGTTGCTGGACATGCTCAAATGCTATGAACTGGTCAGGCATGATGCCATATTGTTGGAGTGCAGGGCCAATGGATATCCCATGAGAATGGCGTTTATGCTTGTGCAGATGTACCAACAATTGCGTTCTGTGTACTCGTACTCGTCTTACTCGGTGGCGCGCAGGGCATGTCAGGGCATCCTGGCAGGATGCACCCACGCCACGACGCTACTGATGGTGTTGCTGACTCGCAGCATTCGCCAGACGATGACAGTCGCTCCTCAGGTCCAGCCCAAGGACTTGGTGGATGACGTCGCGCTGTGTTGGGTTGGCAACGACCCGCGCGGGGTGCGGGAGATGGCCATCGCTACTCGTGCATTCTGCAGGGCTGTTAGGCCCCTCGGTCTGGTACTGCAAATGGATAAGTCTGGGCACCTCACGACGTCCAGGCGTACCAGCTACCACTTCCAGAAGTACGCCAGGCTGCTGAAGATCTCTGGCAAGAGGCACATGAGGTACCTTGGGCACGATTTAGCTGGGTCGTCGGCCACCAGGGCCGTGCAGAAGGATCGCCTGAAGTCCATGCACGGCAAGAAGGCCAGCGTCCGTGCCTTGCAGAAGGGAGCAGGGCGACAGCGAGCGGCTCGGCTTTGGGCCACGGGTGTGTTGCCATCCGTGGGGCACGGAGCCACGGTCAGCGGCATCAGCGACAAGGAGCTGCAGCAGATGAGGAGCATGGCTGGCGTCTTCTGCGGCTACAAGGGATCGGGCTCCCTGACGCTGTACCTGGCCGCGCAGAAGTGGAACTTTGACCCCATCTTCCACGCTACCTGCAGCATCGTGGGGCAGTGCGCGGCGTGGGTGTGGGATGGGCGTGTGACGCTCTCCCGCCTGCAGCGTGCCTGGATGGGCTTGCGTGACTCCTGGGATGCCCGCGACACTCACGTCACTTGGGCCAGTGCACAGGGCCCGCTCTCGGCGATGTGGTTGTCGCTCAGGAGAATCAACTGGAACATGGCCAGCTCCGCTATCTTGGTTGATGATGAGGGCCTGCACATCAGTCTGTTGCAGTATTGTCCCAGTGAGGTGCTGTTCTTCCTGCATCGCAGCCTGGGCCGTTGGCAGAGCCACCGCATCCTCGACCAGCTGCCTGAGGCGCCCCCAGCTGATGGTGCAGGCAGGCGGCAGCACGTGTGGCTTCGTGCGCTTCGGCTGGGCCACGCCTCCTTGGCGCCTGGGCACAGAGGGGCGCTGGCCAAGCTGCAGTCCAACGGCTTCTGGTCGCCGCAGCGCCGCAAGCAGGCTGGCTATAGCGACGATGGCTCGTGCGAGTTCTGCGGGGAGGCCTACTGCGACCTCGAGCACGAGATCTTTGGCTGCAAGGTTTTGCATCAGCAGCAAGAGGACGAGGAGACGGAGCCGTACCCTGAGGACGTAGCCAAGAGGAGGAAGGACATCCTGGAGGCAGCCCCGTGGCAGGACGGGGGCCAGGTGCAGGACTTCTCGGCCCTGGACGTGCTCTACGCGCTGCCCATGAGGCCTGCCTTCAGGCCGCTGCCTGCACGCGCTCAGGCTGAGCGTGAGTGGGGGGCGATCGGCCTGCCGTGGCCGTCGAAGCTGTACGGGGACGGTTCGTGTCTTGAAAGTGACTTCCCTGAGGAGCGGCGCTGCGGATGGGCCGTTGTGGCCTTGACCCGTGACCTGTGGCCGTGCAAAGCTCTGTTCGGGAGCCTGGGGGGCCCCATCCAGTCGGTGCCCAGGGCCGAGCGGGTGGCTGGTCTCAAGGCCCTGCAAAGGGCCCAGAGGCCAGCCACGTACGTGACCGATCATTTGCAGCTGCAGGTCGAGGGAACGGCTTGGGAGGGTCGTCATGCTTCTGCCAGAGCGCCTCACGCGTCGATCTGGCGGAGCATCCACGAATTGTACAGGGGCGACCCTGTCAGGCCCGTTTTTGTTTGGACGAAGGCCCATCGCTCTGTTCTCGAGGGGTTTGATGCGTGCCTGGCATCCCAGGAGCCCCTGGAGCATTTTTTCGGCAACATGTGGGCGGATGTTTTCGCCAGAGTGGCCGCGGCCGACTTCCTTGGATCCACCTCCGTGGTCAAGGCTCACAAATTTTCTCTGCTTCGGGCCCAGGACACGATGCGATGTCTGGCCTGGGCGGCCGAGCGTGTGGCCCGCCTCTCCTCCCCGATTCTCCGTGCGCCTCCGAAGGCCGCGATTCGGCCCCGTCGGCCGCGTCGACCGACCGATCACGACTTCGTGGCCTTCGCTGGGGGAGCGATTCGCTGTCGTGCCTGCTGGAGGCTTGCCTCGACGGCTTCGTCTTTGAAGTCTCTGGCCTCCCGAGCGTGTGACCCCCAGGAGGTCGGGCCAGGACACCAGGTCCAGGCCTTAGATCGTGTCTTGATTTGTGTGAAGTGTGGGGCGCACGCTGTGCGCCCCAATCGGCTGTCACTCGGCCTGTCTCGAGCGTGTAAGAGGGCTGGGACGGGGTCGGCTGGAGCTGGGAGTGGGGGGGACGGAGCCATCGCGTGGATGCTCGAGCAGGCTCGCAGGGGCCTGCATCCCAAGACGGGCGTGCCCCTCGAGCCGCTCGTCTTCTCGGAGCTCGAGGAGCCTGCGATGCCGCCGCAGGAGCCCGAGCCCGAGGCACAAGGATGAGGTTTGCTCCCTTGTTTCTCCCTTTCTGTCCCGAGGCGTGTTCGTGATTCACTTGCGCGCTCTCTGCATTGTCCCCATTGTCTCCTCCTCCTCCTCCTCCTCCTCCTCCTCCTCCTCCTCCTCCTCCTCCTCCTCCTCCTCTCCCCCCCCCCCCCGCCCTTAATCCCCCCCGCCTGTTCCATATCCTGCGCTGCGCCCCTTCGACGCCCCCCCCCCATCCCCCTTGGCCAGCATCTCCACGTCGACTGCCGCCGTCTGGCAGGTCAGCTCGCGGTCGCCCACGGCGGGCGTCAGCATCGCAAGGTTGGCCGAGAGACTCAAGCGCGCGAGCCCGCCGTGCAAGTCGCTGTAAGCCGTGATCACGGGGCCCAACTTGTCATCGAAGAAGCTGCAGGTCGTCTTGACATCCATCGATGCAGCCTTGAACGCAGCTCCATGCGATGGAATCGTGGTCTTCGCCGAGTCCACCAAGATGTCGACGCGCCCGCGCAACGCCTGCACAATGCATTTGCGGCACTCCAGTGCGAAGACCCCCGCGAGCACGAGCCAGGGCCGCAACGTCTGGGCACCGAAGGGGAGCTGCCGTCCGCTCGCCTCCAGCTTCAGCGCGCCATCCGAGTTGATCACGCCATCGAGCTGCGCAATGGCATTGCTGAGCACCGCGCGCACGTAGACGGCCCTGTCGCAACCCTCAGCGTCGAGCCCTGCCGCCGCCGGGCCGCCGGCGCTCGTGCGCAGCGCGCGCTGCAAAGACGCCATGATGCTAGCAAATTCATGTGTCTTGTTCGCGATGCCGAAGTACACCAGGGCGTCGCCATGCGGCGTTGGCTTGTCCGACCCGTTGGCCAGGTTGACGCGCCAATCAACCTTCGCGCGGGCCAAGGAGCCTGCGTCCACGAACTGTATCAAGTCCCTCATTGCAACGCGATGGTCACAGTACTCTATCTTCTGCATGTCCTCTGCGCCGCCGCCTTCGAAGGCGATGCCGAGCTCGATGTCAGCGGCGTCCTTCGCATCGCGAGTGAGCATCTGAAATGCAGCCGGATCCCTGGCATTCTCGACCGCATCCTTGCGGGCGTCACCAACGCCAAAATTAACAACCACCACGATCTTGCCAAGTGATTTCCCCACGAGACCACACGTGGCAAGATTGTAGGCCTCAGAGCCTGCAAAGGTCGGCGCTACCCTTTCGATACTGCCCCCTCTATCCTGGACCCTGGGCCCTCGAATCCTCGAGTCCTGCGGGGGGGCCCTTCCGAACAATTCCCTATCGCGTTACCGGGGGGCCCTGGGCGCCTTCCCCCTGGACTGCCCCCCCGGTTCCCAGACGGCCCCCCAGTAAACGAACGGGCGTGCCATCCAATGTGTCCTTTGGGTTGCATTCGTTATTCTGGTACCCCTCGCCACCGATGGCGCCCGTGAAAATCCTCATCTTCTCAGACGTCTGCTTGATCACCTCGGGGTCGGTCGCGGAGCTGTCGGCGAACCACTTGATGAGCTGCGTGGGCCAGCGAGAGGTTAGCATGGCCAGGTCGATGACGTTGCTCTCAAAGTTGCCGGATGCCTCCGTGGATGCAATAGCCATCGCAATCTCCGTGACCTTCGTGATGTACTCTGCGCAATCCTCCAACGGACCCTTTGCATTATCAATGGCGCACCCGAACGTCACCTTCTCGACCTCGCCAAATGCATCCTGGGCGAGGGCGCCAGCCCTTCGCAACGCATCCATCACGAGGACGAACCAGCGATTGTGCATATCCGTGATGACTTCCGAGCAAGCATTCAAGCCTTTCATGTAGTCCTGGGCCTTGGTCGCGACCACTGAGATCTCCTTGATCAAGCGAACGCGCTGCTGGTTGAATTCATCTATCTCGCCCCCCCCCCCCCCTCCAAAAGCTCGCGTCGGTGCTCGCCGTTGCTGAGTATGTCCGAAAGGTTCGCGCCCATCTCGACGACGCCGTTGCAGCAAGCACTGAAGAAGACATGGGCCATGAGGTAATTCCCAATCTTCAGGATCTCCAGGGCGTTCTGCCAAGACTCGACGACCATGGGAACGTTCTGGTGCAATGCAGCAGTGGACCACCGCTGGATCGGGCCAGTCAGCCCCGCGAGCAGCAAACCCAATTCCTCAGTCTTAGCCGTCACACGGGTGAGCTTTCACTCTGAGCTCGCGGCCAACTTATCTCGCCAAATATTTATGTTGTCGAACGCCTCTGAGAAAACCTGCTCGAAGTGGCCCGCGCAATGCTGCATGGTGGACGTCGCAGCGTCGTCTTCAACATTCTGCGCAACATGTAGCCTGGATACCTCCATGACAAGTTTGGGCGCGACGTAGCTGACCATGATGCGCGCGAGCTCAGATACTGGATTATTACCTTGGGCCTGGCGAGTGGTCTCGACAATGATCATGCGGGCATCCCTCGCCAACTGTGCGACAGGACGCCCACTCTCCTCGTGCAGACTGCACTGCGTCACGATGGCGATGGCCTTGAGGAGCTCGCTGAACCCGACAGTGCATGTCTGAACCCGCATGTGCGCTAACGAGCTCGCGTCGTTGACCAGCTGTCTCGTCTGCCCCTCATCCACCAGAATATCAACCTTCAAAAACAACGCCCAGCTTCGGAAAGCCTCCGAGACCATGGTGGACATGCGATGCAGAGTGGAGGCGTCGACGACCACGCGAGTGCTCAAGTCGACCGCGGCAACTTTCGCTCTTCCTTTTGCCCCCGAGCCCTCCTGCAGCGCCTGCCCCCTCAAGTTCGCATTGCTCCTCCGCCGCCGCTGCGCCGACAACGCCATCCACTGCGCCCGCGGAATCGTCGAACTGCTCCGCAAGGTTCGCGGCAAGCGTGAAGATTTGTGGGCCCATCACTTCGAGGGCCTCCTAAACGTTGCCAGTCTTCCTGGGTGCACCCTGGAACAACGCGTAGCCGATCACGATGCAGAGCTCTCGGGAAAACGTCTTGTCAACCACGTCCAGGTACGCCGTCAACGCGGCGAAATATGGTAAAGTCTTCAGCAGTAACGACTCGCCTCGCGCTTCGAGCCATGCCTTGATGCTCTTGTACAGCTCGATGATGGCAACGGTCCTCACCTCGAGTTGCTTGTATCCCACTTGGAGGTCGTAGTTCTTCTTGCCAAGGATGTTGCAGCTGTGCTTCTGCAGGCGCCGCGACAGCGCCTGCGCCGTCCCGAGCTTGAAGTTTCGGTGCCAGCCAGGCGCTGCCAACTTCGACGCGTCGTCGCTGATCGTGGCGCGCATGCGGTTGATGCGCGCGAAGAGGCCCCCGCTGGGCATTTGCGCACTCAGTGGTACATCGTTGATCGGCAGCCCCGCGATGCAGAGCTCAGCGTCATCAGCGCCAGCCGCCCTCGAAGGCTGCTCGACGTCGTCCGAGCCGACTGGAGCAGCCGCGGTGATGCTCCGCGGCGGTGGCGCCACATCGATGTGCTTCATCACCTTTCATCAGCATCGCGTTCGGCGCGCTGGCCACGTCAGCCCTCGCGCCGCGCTCGGCCTGGACCCCCATGGCCTCTGCCTTCGCGCCAACGTCCTCAGCGCCTGCGCTCTGGCCGACGGGCGCCTCAGAAGATCCCGCGCGAAAAGGCATCCTCTTCTTTAACTGCAGCATTGGAAGTCTGCGCCTGCATCGAAGCCCTGCCTGCAAGCGAGGGCGACGTCGATGTCCAACATCTCGGAGTCGTTCTCAGCAGCTCCTTGCAAGAGCTCGCGGTGCTCCTCCTTCACCAGCGCGGCGCCATGCGCGGCCGTGGCCGCTCGCGCGGCGGCCCCGCGCTGCCGCCGACGGCCGGCAGCGCAGCCCTCTGCTGCGCCGCAGGTTGCAGACCGACGCCAAAACGGCTAGCCCACGGAGGAGGGGGAATGGTGGAGGGCAGGGAAGGAAGCCGATGCCCCTTTGAACTATGTTCTGACAACCCCGCGAGCAACATCGCCTTGACAAGTATCACAGGTTCGTCATCTGCAGCAACGCGCGCGATAGGCGCCGAACTCGAAGCCCGAGAAACTTAGCCGGCCGAGGACCACTGCCCATCGAAGCCGCCGGCATGGCCGCCGACGCAGCTGCCTGTACCTCTGCGCGCACCGTCGTCATATCTCTCTGGGCCGTCTTGATGAGCGCGTTGAAGTAAATTGGAGTGCCGCGTCCGACTGACTGGCACCTTTGGGAAACTTGGCAAGCTAGGTCTCGATGCCGACAACTCCAGCCTCCAGCGAACCCATATTCATGATCTCCGCCATCGCGATCTGGTGGCTCGCCCCCATCTCGGACATCTTCAGCTCCATCTTGCGGTTGACCTCGGCGCGGTCCTCCATCGCCCTGGCCATGCGCTCGAGCGCGCTATTCATCGACGCGGAGTTGTCGCCAGCCTCCACATCCACTGCTTCGTTAGCGACCCTGGCAGCACTGCGGGGGGCGGGGGGCCTGAAGCTATCTAGGTGCCAAAAAAACAAAGCCTGTTCTGCGCGGGCCTCTGAACCTCCCCGTCGGCTGCTCCAAAGTTCCAGCCGCCAGGGCACAGGTTGGAACGTGAACCAAAATGGATACGGTGAGTATGATGATGGGGAGGATGGTGAGGACGATGATGATGACATTTTGTGGACCAAACAAACTGGAATGAACATGTGGGAACCAGAGTGGTGCACGGAGGAAACCCGCAACACTTGGGCACAACAACGTAACGTGACTCCAGCGCAAGTGCACCACGTTGACTTACAAATGAAGGCTGAGGATGAAAAGGCACTTGCACAGTGCAGGGATTAATGTTTTGGAATCATTAGAATGAAAGTCTTGAACAGGTATGGCTTCCCCATACTCGGACGAGCGGAACGAGCCAGTCCAAAGGTTCCTCGGTTGCATCTGCAGCCCTCCGCGGCGCACGCTTTCAGAAATATTTCGAAGATGGTCGCAGAGGAACTGTTGATGGTAATCTCAAGCTGCATACTTTCAGCGGGCAGTTCGGGATTGGGAGGGCGTCGCCAAAGTACCCGCAAAATCTAAGACGACTCCAGCCCAACATAATACCTTAACCTTAACTCGCCCTAAGGATTTGTTTCCATGGGAGGCCGGCGCAGGCCGTTGGAAAATCATATGCGCACTGCTCGTTGTTCGCGTCCTGACGTCTCCATCGCTGTTGGCTGCTTTGGCCCGGTATGTTGACAAGTGGTGCGATTTGGCTGAATCAGAGTTGTCCCACCTAGTTTTGTGTGTCTGAGTTTTATTTCGGAGTTCGAGATAACAAAGCTGAGTTTTGGTGATATCTGGGACGACCTTGATCGCCATGCGTCGTCTGATGTGAATTTAAACTCGTTTGAAAGCACAACTGGATTCTACCTGGAGCTTATTGGCCCGAGGGGGTCCCAATACCCTGTCGTGGGGCGCTGCTCGCCAGCCAATCACCACGAAGAACACTGGTGAGAACGAATCCATGGCGCAACGACACCATATAACACCATCCGGTTTGCTGCAATGATCGAATATACCCAGTGCGTACCCGTGAAAACCAAAGGCCACATGGACAACCAGACAATATAACTTGCTATCAAAAAGGGTTATAGCCAGAGACTTGGTCATTCAAAGAGCACGCAGAGGTATCATTACTATTATTGCACGAATGCAGCATTACTCCAGAGTGCGCACCAGACACGGAGAACATCGCGGACACTTTCACGACAGCTTTGGGTCACAACAAAACTGATGCATTTGATCGGGAGATTGTTTTGAAATCCGTGCCGAGAGATTGCCAAACGGATCGATCCGGATCAATGTCGCTCGCATGTCATCGTCCTCTGAGGTGGCTCTGGCGAGTGCGCCGACTGAGCCTATAGCCAGCAGGCGTGTTGCCCCGACTGGCGGCATCCGCATGCTAGAGAGCACGTCCCGCGCCATGCTGCTGGACAGCGCCGCCAACTAGAGGGAGGCCGCGAGCAAGTGCGACACCGAGCGCCCTCTCCAACTGGAGCGCCGCGACACCCTCCTCGACTACCAGGCCCAGCAGCTCTGGAAGACAGAGCGGCTGAAAAACGTATACGGGATGATGCTGATGCGCGTGCCAAGCGGGACGGTGACAGCTATGCTGCTGCGTCACGGACAGCTGGATCCGCCCGTTTCGGTGCTGACGTGGAGGCTGGCAGGAGCGTATTGGTGCCTTCTAAACAAGAGCATACCATGAAGACGGCCAAATACGACCCGCGACCAGAGCCCGCTTTGAACCTTGTATCTTCGTCGTCCCCTTCTGTGCCCTCATAGGTCGTGAAAGTCACCATCGATACAACTGATGATGACTTCTTCCGTATCGAATTTTTGAATTTGACCCGTGCCCTGTTCGAGGTCCAGGTGAACCGTGGTGCCCGTTTCGAGGATCTCTTAACTGCTCTTCGCCATGGAATTGGCGGGCCTTCCTCTCTACTCTCGGAGACAGTCCTGTTGTTGGGCAACTTTCGGCCCGACTACTTGGTCAAGGACATCCCTGACTTGACGACCAGAGCAGCTCTTACCACAGCAATGCGATCGGACTTGCGCACGCAAGCCTCCTTCTGGTGCCCAGAGCTAGCGAAAGCAGACCAACAAACGTTTGAACAGGTGATTCAGAGTACTACCGCGCCAAGGGCTGCCGGAGCCCCTTCTGGAGTCACTTTCAAGGCTGCCGAGCCGCCGCCCCCCACTTATGAGCTTAGGTGTCCTATTGGGGCGTGCCCAGGGCTCTGGGCATCCCACCTCTGACCAAACGAATGTAATCATACGTCTAACCATATACATGCATTGCGCTGCCATTTTAGTTTGGCTTACTCGTTTCAGAGGCCGCAAGCAACGTTAGAACCGTATTGCCGACTCCGGAAACTCCAGGTCCGAATATGTTGACGTCTCACTTCTACTGCCGCCGCTTTCCGAAAGCCTTCCGCCAGCGGGCCCGCAGCCATTTGACGTACTTCCGCCTGCTTCCGCTGGCTTCCGCAGGAGAACGCGACGCGCCGAGTCTCGAAGGCCTCACACTGGCTGGCCCCCGCTGGTGAACGGGGTGCAACAAGCCGCGTATACACTACACGTATAAACTACCCAAATTTACATTTCTGACGATTGCGACGCTCGCGCTCCCACGCAACGAGGTCCGCTTGTGTGGCCGCTTCATGTCCCATGTACGCCGACGAAGTCGGCTCGGCTTTGGCTCGCCAACGATGCAGGGGCAGGGGCAAGCATTGAGCCGAAATGCGATACACGGCGTTGCTGAGGTCGCGGCCCTGCCTTTGCCCCCAAGGAGCCCGCCCCCCCCCCCCGTCGCCTCCCCCTCCCATCCAATCCCTCCATCCCCTCTGTCCCTGGGTCCCCTCCCCCTCCCCTACCATTCCCCCCTCGGTCCCTCCCATCCTCCTCCTCCTCCTCCTCCTCCTCCTCCTCCTCCTCCTCCTCCTCCTCCTCCTCTGCTCCCGTGCCCTATCCCGCCCCTCCCCCACCTCCCTTCCCCCCATCCCTTCCCCCTGCCCCTCCCCTTCCCCTCCGTTCTCTCTCTCTTTCTCTCTCTCTCTCTCTCTCTCTCCTCCCCCTCCGCGAACACACCGCCCCGCCATGTCGGTCTTGCAGGGGCGGCCTGCGCATGCCTGCTGGGGTTCGGGGCCAGCGGGGGACAACCTCGAGCGAAGTCTGAGCCCTCCGCTGCTGGGAACGTCCCGCCCGCCCAACCCATCCCCCCTTGTGCCTCGGCCTGGGCGATGGTGGCGTTCGCGTCGCCGCTTGCGCGGACCACCTCCACCTCGCTGGGCGGCAGAGCAGAAGGATGAGGAGAGCAGCATTGCCTCCCTGTAATCAGCCAAGGAAGAGCCCTTAACCCTTTGAAGTTCCTTTGGCGAATCAGTTCGTTCTGGTCACGGTTACTGTTCCCCTTACGCGGGACGCCCACGATGGGGATGGGGAATAGCGCCGTCGCGCGGAAAAGCAAGTACCCATCCCCAGCTCTGCCATCGCCCTCCTGCCCCGACGCCGCATTCTACACATAGTTTGTTATGCATCGGGAGCCGTGAACAAAAAAAACGACAAACTACAGACAGTCAGGTGAAGTTGGTACGAGTTGCCTGGACTGAACGCGTGACTGAATCAACGCGCGACCGGGATCTGAACCTCATGAAAGTGCACGGGCGCGAGCGCGCCCGGGCACGGTCAGGAGCTCCCACAGGCGAGTTGGGGCAGGGGCTGCTGAGCGCAAATGGGCCAGGGCCGTCGACTTTTTGGCTCTAGGGGTTTCCGACGGCGATGTCCTGCGATCAGAACGCGCGATGGCCAAAATGTCGGAACCGAAATGAGCAGCTCAGTAGAGTTCTGGAAGGAACCGCCTGAGGAAAGGTCTAACAGGAGCAGCTCAGTAAGTTTTAGAAAGAGCCGGCGGAGGAACATGTTCTAAGAAACGCCTGGATAATATTTTGGAAGGTGCCTTCCCCCCCCCCCTTGTCGCGCCAGCCCCGCGCCCTGCGAAAATCGTCCTCGGAGTCTTTCGCGGCCCTTAATTCGTATGATACAAGGGTGCAGTGGTCCGGCAAGAACTGTGCCAAACGCGTTTTTTGCCACCATTCGGATCCGTCCCAAACCCATCGAATTCGAATCGGATCCGTCCAAAAAGCTTCGGATCCGCATGGGATCCGTGGCGGATCCGTGCCCGGATCCGACGCCTGGGGCGAGGTTGACACTCTCGAACTGGGACCCTCGTCAACGTCTGCAAGGGCCCCTGCATCCGTTTTCGGGCGCCCGACACTGCGCCCATCGCCCGCGACCTGCCGCCAAACTCCCTTTAAAGTTTCCTAAGTTGGCTGGGCCGACGGCCCCTTGCCTGGCTGGGCCGACAGTATGGTGCCTTCGTGCGGTTTGATACTTCGGGCCACATGGTCAAATCGTACCAACTGACCTGACTGTCTGTAGGAGCCTATATGAAACAAGTGGCGAACATCAAGGTTTAAACAAGTGACACTCAAACTGTCAGGATCTATATCAACGGTTTAGGACCATTGTCTCTCCCTCCGTTTATGGATCATAATGAGCTGCGCCGACAGCCCATTGGCGTCCGCTCATGAGGTCCCGAACCCCTTGCGTCGCACCCCTCACGCGCATCGTGCCTCATGGGAGTCGCAGCGCGCCTTTGCGCGCCTGTTTCGCAGCCCCAGCTCCGCACAGACCCGACCTTCATCTCTTGCGGCGCCCCGACCTCCATCTCTCCTGCGGCGCCCTGCCGCCCTGCGCATCATGCACCTGAATAAGGTCAAGCTCCTTGCCAAAAAAATGTTACCTGCTCCTCCTCCTCTTCCTCCTCCTTATCCTCCTCCCCCGGGGAAACGTCAAGATACCGAAACTGTTACTTCCAAGACGGGCACCTTTTGACAAGGATGCAGATGCGATCCCAGCCGTGGCAACGACGAACGGGTAGTGGTATCGGCATCTCCTCCTCCTCCTCCTCCTCTTCCTCCTCCTCCTTCTCCTCCTCCTCCTGAAACCCTGAGACCGTGGCGGCAGAGATGCCATCCGACGTTGCCATCCCCCTCCCCCCCAGGGCCAGTCGGTACTGGGGGGGGTGGCTGATCAAACCAGTAAACCAGGTGACGACAGTGGCGGTCGCCCCTGTGGTCACAGGCTGGTTGGTTAAGCTGTGAAAGGCTGATCAAGGTAAACGACAGCAGAAAGGGAAAGGATAAGGAGGAGAAGAAAGGCCAAATCCAGGAGGAGTGGGGGATCGTGCGCTGTGGCCGGTGTGCGACGGCCATGGGTAGCGGCGGCGGTGCATGCAGCGTGCGAGGGCCACTCTCACCGGAGATCGGGTGGCGCAAACGACTCTCCCATTCGCCAGAAAGGAAACCTGAAAGGGACGACCCCAAACGCGACCGCGGGACCCTCACCTGCCGAAGCAGGCGAACGGTTCCAACAGGTGCGACTGGGGGCCACCCAGAGATCCCCACTGGAGGAGTTTACGCCATGCTGTGGCGGTGGCCCTGTAGCGGTTCCCCCCTTCCGATGCCCTTGACTCCATAAGGCCCCTTGTCACCAGGCTTGGCATGCTAGCCATTCTCCTCGGTGCCAGGTTTGGCAGGCCATTCCCTTGGCGGCAGGCTTGGCATGCTAACCGTTCTCTCCAGGAGAAAATTGGCAGTGTGATTGGCTTGATCACTTAATGCGTCGACCGGTCTCTGGCCATCGACCCCGAGTGTTCGATTGCTTCTCTTTTCCTTGGACTGAAATACCTTGCGTATCCCTGGAAAGCACTCGACATCGCTGTGTCCAGATTATTGATGAAGCATCTGTATCTCTCTTGTGTGCCTCTTGCTCTCTCTCTCGTGCCAAAGTGAAATGGGCTCCCAATGCTTAACTTCTGCTGAGCTGCTCTCCTCGTCCCCCCCTCCCTTTGCATGTGCTCATCGGTGTTTACAGTCACACATGTTCGCTGGCGGGGTGCGGGTGATTCCAGCTCATGGTGGCCTCCCGTCTCTGCAGGATGAGTGCATGTCGCATGCTGCGTTGTGCATGTTATGTGTCGCGAAATTAACCTGGGCCGAATTTGCGTGCATGTGTAATTCTATTGTGCTCACACCATCCATGTTTCTCTTGTGTCCCCCTTCCTTTTCTTCCTGTCTTGCCGGTTGCTCTGTCCATGGCCGTTGTGTGCCCAGACTACAGCCCAGTGAAATAGTCAAAATCATCGTCAGAGTTTGTTGGGTAGTGATCTGGCCTTGCTCGCTCCTATCCATCGATCCCAATACATTTCGATACTGTATGCTCATTATCCACGTACTTGCTACATCCTGGGCAATGAATCCCTTCGCACCTCGTCCGCTTATGCCGTACGGACAACAACAATTCAATGCAGGTCCGCCTCGTCCCTTCCAATATCCAATGGGTGCTGCCAGCTCGATGGTGCCTCGTCCGGAACCTATGAGGATTTTCGATAATCGAGTGATCGACATGCGCGACACAAACACCGACAACCACGGGAGGTTCCTCCCCCTGCACGATGACGACCCCGAGCGGTTCGAGGTGGTTGTCATCGCGACCAGCGCCCCAGGTCTCAAGGAGATGATGCGCAAAGAGCGTTGCGTCCCGATGTTTGTCCGCGCCCACGAAGAATGGGATGTGACCAGGAATCGTGCTGATGAGATTGCGCCTGTGTTGCCCCTTGGTACTGATGACAGCAAATGGAACAAGTTTGTTGTTGGAGTCCAAGCAGTAATGGAGGAGCTCGACATCCCGACCGGAGAAGGTGCGGTGCAATACCTTCGACGGAAGAAGAGCGACGACCGACTCCGGCATATGCATCGTGATTGCCACCCTGAAGATCGTCGTGACCGCCGCCCAGAAAACCATGCCAGGCGAGAACACTTCCGCGATAGCGGACACGATGACTATTACGAGCCATCGGAGCCGCCTTTGACCCCAAGGGCTGAGCCTCGCGATATTCTCGGTTTCTCTGTCAGCAAGACTGTTGGTGATCATCCCGTGTCCGGCTCTGTGACGGGTGTCGACGTGCATGAAGGCGAGATCACCATCAAGATCAAATTGGATGCCCAGACTGAAATGTTGCATCGCTCGTGGGCAGATGTTTGCGAGAACATGCTTATGAAAAACCAGCATGGCGCAGCTGCGCACATGATCAACACCCCAAATCCACGCCCCCGTCGCCGTCAGCGTGCCGGCGATTATGGTCCGGCTTCGTCGTCTGCGTCCCAGGAGTGGTCGAGAATCTTGTCTGAATGGCCCCGCAGGTGAGACAGACTAAATGAATTCCAACTTGCGCCAGAGCGCTGGCAGGTGAACGCGCGCGCGCGTAGCCGTGTTTGCATGCACTTTCGCCGATTGCACTTGACTTGTGATTCGTGTTGTTGTTTCGCCAGTTCTCAGCATGAATGCATTTGCCCTCGGTTCTCTGTTGTCTCATGGACGGATTCGCAAAACAAATTTGCCCTCCAAGGCATGGTGGCTGTCTGGGCTCCTCTTGCCACATCCACTGTGCAAGTAGATAGCCTCGTGCATGCAGTGCGCAATTTTGGTGTCATGTTTGCTAACGCCGTATATGGCACGCGCAACCGGTATAGTCAGCAGCGTGCTTACATAATCCTCTGGCACTCGTCGTCTGATCTTGTTTCGCACATATTGGAATTAAAGGTTTTCTCTTCCATCAGGCACGCTCCCCATGTACGCTCTCATTTGTCTTCCGCTCTTGCTGTCCTCAATTTCCTTCGCTCTATCCTTCTCTTCAATTTCCTCGGTTGGTCATCGTTCAGGTCTCACGCGAAGCTGCTGAAATTTCTCGCACAGTCAGCCCAATTTGTCGACGCGTACAGAGCGTCCACCGAGGCGACGCACAATGTCGTGCACTCGTGGGTGTCTCTTGATTGCGATCTGTCCTACGTGGGAAAAAGCATTCGTGGCATCGAGACGCGCACTGCCGAACATTCTGATTATTTGTTGCGTCGTCGTGCTAACGCCCAAATTCCCGCTTATTTGAAAATCAGGCCCGTGGGCGTTGGTAAGTTTATTCGGGTTCCTCTGCTTTTATTATCTCGTTATAATGATTTCGAGATGCGATTTTTGGAGAATCAGTACATTTCATTGTACAGACCCCAATTGAATGTCCCATTTGTGCGGAAACCTGTTCGCACTACGTACGAGCACGCAACGACTTCCGCCATGTCGCGAATCCCGCAACAGCCACTTCCAAGCCTCGCGTTGTCAGGTTTTCGAACCCAGCCGGCTATTGCCACGGTTGTCGAATTCATCGCA